CACCAAATAAATCACTCTCTTCCCCCTCCATCTTATTTCCTTCATAATGACAGTCTGATTATTTATTTCATCTCTCCATCTCTGACCCTTCCCCACTCTCATCCTCCGTCTCCACATCCAGCAGAGAAAATGAAATATGTGATACGCCCGAAAACACATTTATCAGTTTTGTCATCTGAGGAAGTGGTATCCACAGAAATGTATCCTCTGCCTTGTTCCTCTGCAGGTAAACAGACTTGACAGTAATTCTACTGCATGTAGACGTGTTAGTTCTGCAAAACAAACTGTGGTGAATGAAGTTCTAGGAGGAACGTGAACAGTTACAGTTTGAAACAAACAGCAGGGTTAGGGTTAAGCTGTTAAGCTGTTATCAGGTGCCAGTTCTCCCAGGCTCAGAGTAATAGAAGGAAGTGCCAATCCTATACAAAGAGGAACTCTTTAATTTTATTTAGGGTTGAATTATTTATGGTTGAGTCTCTAATGCTTCTACTGAAAACATGAATTACTCTATGTTCATAGTGTTTGTTGAAGTCAGGGTAGGGTTGTTGTGGCAAGTTGCCACATGAGAAGTTACACGGTATAATAGTGTAATTTCCTCCCAGAAAAACAGTGTCAGTTTGGGTTTACTGGAAACATTCGGTTCTTGGCTGAAGTTTAAATCTTACATCAGACACAAGTAACAAAAACAACAGACGCATCATCAGCTTTTCAGTCGGTACGGAAAACCTGTAGGCAACAGGTTGATTATTAAGACAACCTTCAGTTATAGAGCAGCACTAGCATTCATGCATCTATCCACCTGATGAAGTCTAATATTCACTCTCTGTTAGCTCTACCAACCCCTGACCGTGTACGGAGGGTAAAAACAATGCATGAGTGAACCAAAACAGTAAAGTTGAACGTCGAAAAGCAAAACAATGAGCAATCAATTAGTTTGAATCTAAGGGGAGCTGCAGATCGACTGTGTCAATTAAAAGAGTTAAGGATATAGCTGCAACATCACAAAGAGTCAACAGCACATGCTAGCATATCTCTGAAGCTGAATGATTGAACTGTGGTGCTTTAAACTAAATATCAATATGCTGACAATGCCAATGTTAACATGATGATGTTTAATAAGTGCAATGTTTACCATTGCCTTAGTTAACAGTGTTTGCATGCAAGTGTTCAAAAGTGAAAGTCTTACCTGAGGGTGACATGATACAAAACATTGTTAATGTTTTTAAAACATTAACAATGGATTTAATGACTATGTGTAATGAAAGTTGGTGACTTCAACCCATAAAAACGTTCCCCTCCTGCAGTTCCCTCAGTCCTCATTAACAGCTCTCATACCCCAGTATTTTAACAGCAGGTAATTATTTTCAGCAAATTACCTCTTAAAATCCACTGTGAACTACCTGACAAGCAACAAGCAGAAGAATATCTTATTTAGCAAATAACTGGTGAAGCTTTTGGTCGATAAAGAGACAAATATTGGGAGTTGGTGGAGACCAAAACATATAGCTACACGCTAAATGAATATTGGTCCATCAGCCCATGTCCTTGGTCACAATTCCTACTAAAAAGGTTTGTGTTCATTTAACAACATAGCACTGTTGACTTCAGAAATCCAGTGTCAGCCCACTTGAGAAGAAGCAGATACAGTTTGTCGTCACTTAAAGACACATCATCTGTCAGCCATTGAAAAACCCGTCACTCTGATTTCAATCCAGAATGACGAGTGAAGACCACAGGTTTTAATGTTTGATGGTCAAACTCTTCCATGAACCAAGAACGTAATAACAACCACCACCCAACTCTACAATGAGCTTTGTGTGTCTGTACAGAGAGGAGAAATTAGTGGCCACTTCCTCCCTCATTGAAACACAATGAAAACTGAAAGATGGAACAATGTGTAAAAGACACACCTCAAACATTCTCTTTCAGTAAATACTGAAGATAAGCACTACAGTGACACGAAGCAGGAAACTGAGACGTCTGTTCAGACATCTCACCACCAATGAAATTCAACATGATTATTGAGCTGCCAGTGTTGCCATGTTGCAGCCATGCCTATCCCCACGAGGAGTCAAATAACCAGGCCTGAATCAACACATTCATTCAGAGGGTTTGACTGAGAGTCTCTGCTCATAAATCTCCATCAGACCAGTTTCCTCTCGGCAGTGCTGAATCCGTCTCTCATAACTCTACAGCAGGGACTCGCCGCTTTGACACCGACGATCTTTACTTCTTTTGTGTTTGTGTGACGTGTTCGACAGTTGTCTCTAAAAGCAGCGCTTCTCCTCAGTGTCACAGGGGAATGAAAGCGGCGCTGTCAGATACAGAGCTGCATCATTATGGTTTCAGGGTCAGGTTTAACATCAGTTAAACAGAAAACAAATCAACAGCAAGTTGTTTAAAGGAATAGATGAGCATTTTTAGAAATACATTTATTGGAGCGGTTCCAGGAATTATTTGGTCATCATTTGGTTTCACAAATGGACCTTGTGCTCTTTTTTAAAATTCATTTTTTATTTACTTTTTTGCTTTCTCATGAGCCACGTTGGCTGATTTTCTGCTTGTACGCGACATCTATTGCACTTCTGTCCACCCTGGGAGAGGGACCCCTCACATGCAGCTCTCTCTGAGGTTTCTCTGTTGACGGTTCAGGGCAGAGGATGTAGCACCATGAGAAACAGTGATTAGTGAATATGGGCTGTACAAATCACATTTTATCTGATGGAATATTTTTTAAAATTTAAATTCAATTAAATGATAATGAAAGCAAGTTAATATACCTTTTTTATGTTGTGTTTACAAAGTGTGTATTTATCTTAAAATAATGACAGTGTCATCAAGTCATTCAAGATTTGGCTGTGGAATATTTTAGTTTTTCTGTCATGATAAGGAAGTCGCTCAACTCCTGCTGTGATTGAAGTTTACTGTAGTTAAAATGCAAAGTGGTGCATTTGCTCCCCAGTAAAATGAAAAGGCAAATTGACCTTCACAATGTCAGAGCTAAGTGCTTGCTTTCATTTGAGGGAATGGCCCGTGGTCACTCTCTCTGGCATTAGTTCAAGTAGCTGCGTGTATTACAGGGAGTCATGGAAGTGGAAAAGTCAAAGTCATCGAGGAGAAGTGATGTAATTATTTGAAGGTGGTTCCCAGCATGTGCTTAAAACTAACGAGAGCAGCTCGTGAACCAAACAAAGAAAGTGATTAAAGTGCTACCTCTGCATTAATGTCCTATTATATTTTGTATGAGGGTTTATGGCTACTTAGAATGACATCACAAGGATTTTCCTTTAATTGAGGGATGATACTCCTTCGCAGCGGCCATATTTCGCCCTCTAGCACTTGCTCACCCGCTTCCACCCCCCCGAGTGACCTCTCCGCAAACATTTTCTGAGTCGTCAGTGGAGGTCCTGTTGGAGAGACGCCCTGTCTCTCCTGATTCAGCCGTCTGTTGGAGCACAGTCCAGTATTCACTCCTGCCATATACTAATCCTTTCATTAGTCTTGGCTTCTGGCAGCGCTGTAAAAGAGCTGACTGTGTGGGGAGTCAAGAGACCAAGGCTGATACACAGAGATACATTTACAGATACGCAGTGTAACTCAAACACTGAAACAACTTCCCAGGAAAACACCTTTTTAGTTTTAGATCAGACAACATCTCCCAATCTGATATTTTTGGCCATATTTGTATATGACACTATGATATATCATCTATATTTTGGCTTGAAAATCCCTGAAAGTATAAATAGATAAGTTGTGGCCACTCTTTACAAATTATGACCTAAGAGCGGTCATGTCTCAACCACAGAGTCATTTTTCTATTTCAAGATAGTTTCACTTGAACAATTTTCAGAGAAATGAAGCGAAAAGTTTTACTTAGAAGGCGAAAAACTAATATCAGAAGAAAGATGAGAAAAAAAATTGCTTCAAGAGTTTAATAGACAGTGAGTCTGTAAAATTAAGCCAGCGTGGAAGTGTCTGAAACCTGCATTCTCTTCACTCAACTTCTCACTTGCCTTATAACGTTTTCATCCACAGTTTAGCATCTCAATCTCTAGTTTAATAGTCTTCGTCCATACAGCACAATGTTCTTTTTGTAAATTAGGGTCCCAATTAGAGGGAAATGGATGATGAGGCAAAGTATGCATTGGGGTTTAGATACTGTGTAATTGACAGTTAGCACGGTCTAATCGGTGCAGTTGAAGGTGGTTGCAGTGTCCTCTTGAAAAAACTAGAGCACCCAGCTCTTTTCTCCGCGGGTATCAAATAACCTTAACACCAAACTGCAGTTGGACACCACCAGCATGGTTTCGGTCAAGATGATCTTTTTTTGAGTCTCATATGAGGTCACAATAATCTGACGACCTCCAAATCAGTTCATCTTTGAACTGAACGTTTCTACCAAATTTGAAGAAATATCCTCGTGGCGTTCTTGAGATGTCATGTTTGCAAAAAAGGGGACAGACGAACGGACAGAAAACCAAAAAACGTAACGCCTCCAGCTGCTGGCCATCACCATGCAGAGGCATAGACATGCTTGGGTGTCATTGCAGGTCACTCAAAAAACAGACATTGTATCCCAGGACACTCTGTGGTTAAATAAAAGTGAAATAAATAAAGGAACAGAGAGCAGTCTGGCAGTATAACACTTCATTCACCACCTGTATATATATATATATATACTGCAGGTGCAGTATATGTCCTACTTTCTTTGCTCTGTATCTACTTTACACAAGCTCACTACACTTTTTAAAACACACTGCCTGTGTGCAGGGGCCTCATATTCAGACACATCGGTGACAACATTGTTTTCCAGCAGCTGCAGTCCCTGAGGAATGCTTGGTTTGGCGTCGGCCGTTAAACTCTCTGCCATCCTAAACTAACATGTAAAAGCAGTCATGGCGTGTTCCTGATTTGTTTCACTGGAGATGGAGTTTGTGGAGGAGAAGATGCTACGAGTGATTATCTCTCTAAAGACAAACCTCTCTGTCTCTCTCCTACAGGAAACAACAACATGGAGAAACCTCCGCTGAATTCTGAGGAATTGCTTTCTCAAGGAACTTAACATTTTTTCTGAGTGCATCAGAGACACAGGCGGGCTGACGGGAAGAGGACGTTATGGACTGACTGAGCACATGTGAACAGATGAGTCACATATGAGTGATAGATGATGTAACAGCGTCTGGGACGGTCTTCTTCCACACCATGGAGATGATTGCAGCAGCAGAAAGGGACATAACTGTTTTTTAGAAGCTTGCCTTCATATAGTTGTTTTACCAATGACAAAACAAGTTGCAATCTCAGGGGGTGGCGAGGCAATGACCTAATTCAGATTAAATGACCTCATACTGATAAGTAGTCCGCCTCCTCGCCGGGTGATGGAACATAATCACAAATGGACTCTTATCATAGATGCTGGAGTGTGTGAGGTTACTTGATATTCTCTGTGTGGATGTGTGTGTGGGTTTGTGTGAGGTGAGTTTTAATGCTACATGCAGCTATGTTGCGGCGCGGACTTCTAACCTGGGTCTCCCGTGTTGGGGGCGTGCTGGTGCTCCTCTGCTGCTCCCTGTCACTGCTCTACGTGATGACCTGCAGCCCCCCACACTCTGATGACCTGCCATTGAGTCATGCATTACCCCGCCCTGGATCGAATCACCCCAGTCTGGGGGGCACAGGACCGGGGATGGGAGCAGGGGTCGGTGGGACAGGAGGAGCCGGAGTTGGGCCTGCTCAAAGCGGAGGATCAGCAGGTGTCCAGTCGTACCAGGCGCTCCTCCAAGAACGTGAGGAGCAGCACCGCCACCACATCTCCTCCTTGAAGAAAGAGATTGCACAGCTGAAGGAAGCTTTGCAGGAGCGCAGCCAGCAGCTGAAAGGAGTGCAGGAGAGCCTGAAGAGAGGAGGCCCCGCGGAGGGACAGGAAGCTGGGGTCGGATCCCAGGGAGGCAGCCTTGGAGAGACTCAAGGAGCCAAGAGCCAACAGGCCGATCTCCAGGATTTCCTAAGGAGCCAGCTTTCAAAGGCTGAGGTGACTTCCGGCATCAGGCTGCCAAGCGAGTATGCGGTGGTGCCATTTGAGAGCTTCACGCTGCAGAGGGTGTACCAGCTGGAGATGGGCCTGACGCGTCACCCTGAGGAGAAGCCGGTGAGGAAGGACAAGAGGGAGGAGCTGGGGGACGTGCTGGAGAGGGCCCTGCACAGCCTCAACGCACCTCCAACCCAGGACAGCAGGGGCGTGGGAGAGAAGACGCAAAGTAGCAAGGTTTACGCACCGTCCGACTTCATCGAAGGTAAGAACTCTTCAAATCTTGTCCCCTACAACTCATTGACACAAAACTTAGTGGGTATATGCAGGTTTTCTAAGAGTGTGAAAACTCTGGCCAATGCTGGGAAATACGATATGTGACATAACGTTGAAAAAATGCAGCGTCAGTGTCTAGACTGGCAAACTAAAGACGATGAGTCGGAGCCGTCTACTGCAGAGTCATTTCAACTGGGAGTGAATGTTGGTTGTATTCATTCCCATTTGCAGACTAAAGCCAGATGCTATGCGTTTTTTGACCAGTGGAAAGGGGACGAGAAATATAAATAAGTATTTATATTCACAGTAAATCAATTTTGAAGGAATTATAATGTATCTTGGGTTAAAATGTATATTAATATACACGGAAATGTTAATTATAGTGCCTGATTAGTTGCAATGGGTTGATCCTTAATGTAACATTTTTTTCTGCAATAATATCCCATCTTATGGTTACAGCTACCTGCCACAGCATTATTAGATGCTGAGGCACTGCCTGGTCTTGAACTTGAAGCATCACTCACATGTTTGTCAAAATTGCCCATAAACCCAAATCTTTCCCAAACCTTCACCTGCTTTTGTTGGAAAAAAAACTCCCATGCTATGTACATGCCACCTCTACCACCTGCTGCACACATAGTCCAGGGAATGATTAAAGGTTTAATCATTGATTGCCTCAGCCAATCGGAGCCCACGTGATAACAAAGTTAATTTGTCTGTCTCTCTCGCTGTCTCTCGTAGATAATAATGTAACACTTGACAACACAAGGTAATTGGGAAAAAACTCATTAGTAAACATAATTTCTTGGAGACAGGCTTGCGAACCTGAACGCTTCCATATATTTACTCCATTTCTATTATTGACAAGATTGTTTTCTATGCCAGAATAAGTATAATTCAGTTTCTTCTTCTACCTTGAGTTACTTTGATGTTGTGGGTTTTTTCCTTTGCGACATGGATCCCTGGAAGGTCAGAAACATGTTGGTGTTTTTGTGTAGGAGCGCAGCCAGGATATCCTCCTGGACTCAGCCCTGATCAAAAGCTCAGGAAATGAACACAGCTGCTCCTCATTCACTGTGGAGCATCTCTTCAAACGTGCTATTATAGTGTGTGTGTGTGTGCGTGGGTGTGTGTGTGTGCGTGTGTGTGTGTGTACTCATATTTGTTGCCTCTGTAGAACCTTTTCCAGCATTAACACCAACCTTGTCAGGACCAGTAGACTCATGGGGACCAATGCCTGGTCTTGATTAATATGATGGGTAATATGTTAAGTGTGCTTAGGTTAAGATTAAGGGTTCGGTATGAACTGGCTTAGGTTAAGGTTAGAAATAAGGTTTTGTTTAGGCTGTCCACAATGAATGGAAGTCAATGCAAAGTCCTAACAAGGATAGCTGAGCAAAACCTTGTCTGTGTACGTGTGTGTGTGTGTGTGTGTGTGTGTGTGTGTGTGTGTGTGTGTGATCTCCTCTTGTAAGGTCACCATCCCTCAGTGTGTGAGTGGGTGGAGGTGCACCTGGCTCAGAGGAAATGAGCCACAGGTCACTGTATGGACCCTCTCACATCTACATGAGCCTGTGTGTGGTCTTGTGTGTTCTCAGTGTCTGTTTACGTGAAGGCAATCCTAATAGATGTGCATACATTTGTGTGCATCTGTGTGTGCGTTCACATAAACAGCCTCCACAAATCCTGAGCGAGACAGCAGGAGAGTGCTTTTAATGAAATAGCGCCTCCCTCCTGCTGGTATTTTGCAGTGAGTGCCCTTTAATGGATTTACCCATCGATTTTAAGCAAATCGGGAAAACACTGCTTTTTTTTTTTTTWTTCAACCAGCCAGCCAGACAGGAGAAAGGCAGCCGGGACGGCTGTCAACTGTCAGAGGCTGCACACACAAGCTAGTGAACTGAAACTGCACACAAACAGTGGTGGTATGCAAAATGAACTCTTCAACCACTGAGGTCTGTGCTCACAAAAGGGACAGAAGGATGCAGTTTAGACTGAAAGACAGGAAGTGAAGGCATTTAGTCTAAATTCTTCAACATAGTTTCTGAATTAAAGCTTATCGCGTCCCTCTGGGGATTGAGGCCTCCCATCACAGGAAGCTGGCCAACCCAACAGGAAAGCTGCTATCAGACTGTAAATCTCTGCCCACAGACATCTTTCTGTTCTCGCTCTCCTCTTTTTCCTCTGTCATTGTTTTCGATCGTCTTCTATCTGTCTAGTCTTTTCCTTCTCTCCTTGAAGACCGTGCGTCTCCAGTTGGTGTTTTTCTTCCTCACTCCCTCTTTCTTCTCAGACTATATTTCTATATCTATCCCCATTTCCCTTCCTGTCGACCTCAGCAAGTCAATTTTCAAGTAATCAACTCAGAAACAGCTGAGTAATTACAAAATAACAAAAGATATTGTTCAGGACGACCATAACAGCCTTTCTCTCAGTGTTTATGTGTAATATGTGTATGAGCAGTTATGGCTCTTTGCCCAGCAGGAGAGAGCATGGACAATGTCTCATGTTGCCTCATTTGCCCTCGTTCTTATACACACAGTGGCTATCAGAGAACTGATGACTCACCCACAAAGAAATAATGATGAAGCTGATGCTAAAAAGGATTTTCCCTTGAAAGATATTATTGTAATTTTCAGAATTTGATATCAACTAACGCAAATGAAAAAATCACATGGGATTTAAACAAGAGCCACACCCGGGAGAAATAAAAACAGAAAAACCAAATCATTGAGACAAAGTAAACGCGCAGAGGAACAACAGGCAGAGAGAGAAGTCTAACATTAAGGCTCATTATATGAATTACACTTCCACTTTGTGAAAGAAGTTTTATTGCTGAGAGCTAAAAGACAAGATCAATACCACTCTCAGTGTAGGTTCAGTTAAGGCTCATGGGAGAAGTTTGCCTTCAAGGTTTTCTGACTGATAATCCTGAAAGCAAACGTAACGTAATATATATATATATGTACTGCCTTATGTAGCATGGACATCACGACATGCTACATCTTTGCAAATTTCCTCAACTGCTCCATTTAATGCACACATAGGTTTGTTGGTCCTGACTTCATGTCTCTTTGTCTCATCAATCAGGTATCACTCGCACAGAGAGGGACAAAGGGACGCTGTACGAGTTGACCTTCAGAGGGGAGTCGAGTAATGAATTCAGACGCTTGGTCCTGTTCCGTCCCTTTGGACCGCTGATGAAAGTGAAAAACGAGAGGGTGGACACATCAAACGTCCCCATCAACATCATCGTCCCACTGTCCAGACGCACAGACAAGTTCAAACAGTTCATGCAGAACTTCAGGTGAGACTGAACCTTCCACTTCTTTTCATAATTTCTTTACTCCTCCGATTTCACAGTAACACAAACAATGTGACAGAAACAGAAGCATCACAATGAATAAATGATTCAAGGAAGTTCTCTGCATAACTATGTGATACCCTGTTTTGATTCCAGTTTTACATTTTAATTGGGGATCAGGCAGACAGCTACAAGAAGTGGAGAGGATTAGAGGAAAGGAAATTAACATGAGGGAGGGTTTTTTTCTTTTCTGCAGAAACATGTAATTAACATTTTGAAACTGCACTCAGTGTTATCAGTTCATTTATTTTTCTGCTGGTAGGCATAATCACAATGCAAATAATATGAGAGAGATTTCAATGACGCAGACAAGAACATGAATAAATACAGCTCCCGTGCATCTCTGCATCTGTCACTATAGCAGTTTCTGGACATGAGCTCCGGAAAATGTTCAGGAAATTGGGTCAGCATATTTTACAGAAATTGTGTTTCACATAAAAAAATGCAGCAAGATATTTCCCAAAGTCAGACATGTTCACAATGTTGTGTGTTCCACAGCACATCACCACAGGCATATCGATAAACTCTTGTTTTATTTCCTGTCATAATCTTCTAGGTGTAGCCTAAGGCACATCTTTTTCATTCTGAGATATTTGTATTCCTTTAGTTTTTATCAGTTTTGGGTCATGTTTTAAAAACTAACCAACAAACTTGTGAATTTTCCAGACATTTTCCTGCTGTGTTCTCACATGAGATCACTCAGACATTTTCTGTACATTTGACTTGGGGGGGTCTAGCTGGAAAACTTCCAGAAAATGACGGGAGCCACTTACTTGAGACATTTTAATCATCTTTTTGTCATGGATTTCTTTTGTGAAGCACTTTGTAACCTTGTTTAGTGAAGTGCTATACAGATAAAGTTATCATTATTATTTGCAGCATAGAGCCCCTCCGGGCTACACGTTCAGTGCATGTCTGAAAGCAGCTTACAAGTTCACAGGAAATGTTGTTTCATAGACCCCATACATTTTTGATGCATCACAAACAGATCCAGGCTATACTCTCTGTACGCGATAAAGAATTTATGAAAAAGAAAAAGCACAAAGGTTTCATTTTCTTTTCATGGATCCCTGCAGCTGCAAGGTGAAATGACATTTTATCACTTAATTGCTGTCATTAAAAAAAAATCATATTTTAAAATGCGTTCAGAAATCATCAGCGAACAGCAGCACGAGCTTGATCCAGCTCCACACTCTTCCACCATCAGTTGAGGAAACATCCTCTTTAATGTGTGTGATTTATTGTGCTGCCACTGCTGCTTATCACAGCTGTTTTTACATGGTAAATCCTGCTTAGTAGCAATGTTGCAGCCCATTAAAATGCCCCCCCGGGCAGACCAGCAGACGTTGATATAAAGCATGGCAAGGAGTGTACTTGCTTGAAAGACTCGGCAAGTCGCTGAGCAAACTCTTTGCTCTCATCCATATTAACGGTGTTCTAGGATAAACTGTGTGGGGGGGTGCACGTAAGTGTGTGTGTTGGTGGTGGTGAGGGACGTATCAAATGTTCTTTACTCACATTCATGCTCGAAAATAATTGCATTTTTGATTCACTGTGAAATGCCTCCCCAGTGCAGGATACACAGATAAAATGTGAATTCACACAAGCACAAACAAACAGCAAACATTGAGTTTAGACTCACTGTCAACACATGATCAAATTATTAGAGGGTTTTTTTTTTATATTCCATGGTCTGAATGACAAAATGAAGAATGCTTCATTGAAACCCTCCTGAAAAAAAATCAATTTAGGTCTGAAAATAGAGAGAACCTTCAACACAGCATCTTTAACTACAGTAAAAATATTATTCATGACTACTCAGTATCCTCGGCACGTACTCAGTCATTTTTTAAAACATCTTGTGTTCATCTAGTTTTACAAGATAATTTCTCTCAAGTGCTTCTGGGCAACATTCTGACAAATGTGTGTGAGTCTCGAGTCTCCTGAGCAGAGGAGGTGAATTATACTTCAGCATGCGTGTGATGTATTTGACACTTCTCCATCAAAGCGCTCACAGGCATCTGCCACCTGGTCTCTGTACTCATGACAATCTCTCCCTGTACACAGAGTCAGAATGAGGAGAGTCAGGGCTGAATGCTTTTTTTTTGATTGATTAACTATTCCTTTAATTTAAAAATGTCAGGAAATAGTGAAAAAAAGGCACATCACAATCAAGATACAAAGCAGTACCTTTTTAATGAATTTATGATGAGGTAAAAAAACAATATTGGACTTTTTTTAAGATGTGACTGAAACTTTAAATTATTAATCAATAGATAATGCAAGTTGTTCTTTTTTGAAAGATTAAATCCTCTGAAGGCCTCCTGTTTAAAACCTCATTTGTTCCCAGTTTTCTTCCTTCCTGTAATGTCCCCTGCTCACTTTGAGAACACTTTCATCTGTATTGTCCCTTCCTCTTTGTGTTTGTATACGTACAGGGAAGTGTGCGTGCGTCAGGACGGCCGAGTTCATCTGACAGTGGTGTATTTTGGGAAGGAGCAGATGAGCGAAGTCCGCAGCACTCTGGAGAACACGTCCAGGTGGGTTGGAACTGCAGCCAAGATCAGATCATTGAATTAGAGGCTGAACGCAGAAGATGGAATGATATTTACATAAAAGAAACAAATACCGCCGCAGAGGCGCACCTGCTCCTGGGGGCAGGCGCCGGAAAAATATTTGTCACTGTTTCCACACATGCAGCAGAAATTCCTCTCTCACATTTTCTAATCTGTCGCTCTCTATCTCACAACACCCACAAAACACACACCTCTTGGGTCGGCATCGTGCCACAGCCAGTCATCTGGCTGATGAATAATGGAGCAGTGTGCCACCCATGCCAAGGGGCTGAGAGCTCACAGCCGACACAGATAAATCACAACAGGCCCGTGATCGTCCGTGATTCATGCTAACCCTGTCACAGGACCTCGACGCCCACACCACAGGAGACGCGGCTGGGTGGCTGATCGGGAGTCAGATCCACTCTGTGGACTGAGCCGCAGTTCCCTGAGGGAGTTGCTATGGTGATGCTTGTCGATTTCCCAGCCCTGAAGGTTTGTGTGGCCTTGAATCGGTCGGACTATCTCCAGTATCACACTGCGCCTCTTTGTCTCTCCGTGTCTCCTCCTGTTGCCGTCGCTGAGGGGAAACTGTGGAGATAAAAGACGAGGCGGCATTAAATAGTCTCCAAGTGAAGTGTCACATGAAGCATAAAGAAAGCAAAGCCTGTGGGGGTAAAGAGAAAAGCAGAAACATCCAACAAGAGAATATTCAAACACTTGAATATTGCAATGTTTTAGTTGTATTTTGTGATCGATCAATTCTGTGAAACAATTAATCAATAGTTTACACACAAACATTTGCAAAGTGTTGTAATCGATCTTCAGCCATTTGACTCCTCCACTACATGATAATGTTAGCATTAGCAAACCTTTAGTTGACGAGTATCATCACAGATGACCTCATCCAATAGAATTAAACTGAAGTCCATAGCGGACAGCGGTGAGGGTTCATTTTGGTTTACACTGTGAAGTAGAAACCATCGAGATCGACAGGAGCAATGTGATTTGTGAAATGTGCCATTCCAAAATCAAAGACATGGGGAAGAACATAAATCAGAGTGCACATGGAGCAAGACACCAGTGATGTACAGCTAACGCCTCTCAACTCACTCTGGAACAAGTTCCCTCAAAGTTACCACTAACCTCAACCACCATACATCCATTCTTTATCCATCCATCGTTTATCCTTTGAGGGTCGCAGGGGAAGCTGGAGCCGATCCCAGCTGACATCAGACAGGTTGCCGGAGTATAACATACCCAACATACATCTCCACCTACAGTCAATGAAAATACTCAAATAATCTGCATGTCTTTGGAGGCCAGAAATATGGAGAGAACATGCAAATCCAACACAGAAAGATTCAAGAGGACAGTGCTAACCACTGTAACCGACCTCAACTTGAATAAATCAGTCAGTGCTCCATTTCCTGTGCAAAGATATGAGTGCTCTCAGTTAAGGTAATATGATGAATATAATAGAGCCTGGTTATATACTACCCTCCTCCCAGGACTTTATACCATGACATATTTTTATAAGATTAGATTTTTAAATGCAGTATATCACCTTGCTTACTTATCTCATCCCGTGTGGGAGAATTCTTAAAGGAGTTAAGAAATGCACTGAATGGAAAACTGTTGGAGCAAAAGTGAGTCGAGGTACAGTCAGGGAGAGAGGATTGTTGAAGTACACCCTCCTGTAATTTCCCCCCAGAGCTACAGCTCTGCTTTGAACTCTTTGAGGCTTTTTGTGTTTTCCTCACATGCTGACAATACATTCATCAGTTGAATGGGGTATGAATCAATGCATCATTTCTTTTATGTGGCTTCTGGACCAGGGTTGAAATGAATGGGTGTCATTAGAAGATGATTGCCTGTGGTTCCTTAATCTGGGTCCCCAGGCAAATGCACACACAATACATGCAACAGATACAATTGCAAACTGCATACAGGCTCACAGTGGAAGATGTGCATGTGTTACTAGGCTGAAAGTGAAAGGATGAAGATAAAACCTATTGATTGACTCACTAAATTTAATTGCCAACTTAGGTCCATCTTAACCAGAGCCCGAAGCAATGTATTCAAATATTTCAGAACATTCATTTTACCTTTAAAACACCTTGTAGGTATTTAATACAAAACATAAAACAGAACAGCGATCAACAGCGTCTCTCACTGTCAATATGTGCAGACAGAATAACTGATCATCAGGTATAATGTTTGTCATGTGTTAGCATTAACATATTAGCATGAAAAACAAAGTACCACTGAAACTAATTAAAACAGTTTTAAATACAAAAGGACAATTCTGTTGATAAACACGTTATCACAGTTGATCCTTAACCATAAAAGTCTGCACCAAATTACATTTAAAACCAAGCACAAGTCAATTCTCACATTTATATTGACTTTTGGATAATTATACTTGATGAGTGAGTTGAATTAATCGATTATCACAATTGCTTTTTATCGACTGACTAATCTGTTCAGGTGAGCAGCAACACATGTTAATTTTACTCAGTTTATAAACTAAACAAACCTGAAAATTATGGAGATAAAACCGATTCAAATTCATTTCATATAAGTTGTTTTTCAGACCTGAAACATTTTAGCTGGAGAATTCTGTGTCAACAGCTGTACTGACATTGGGATCCTAGAATACATCAGATTGTGGATCTTGAGACTAGGACAGAGCAAAACACACCAAGAGCAGCACTATTAATGACTAAGTGTTCTCTGGGTGTGGTGGTGTATTTCAAATCCAAAGTCTTAAAGAAAAGTTGAGGGTCAACCAAACTGTCCTCGCTCAGAAGCCAAGAACACACTCACGTACGTCCTCAATCACAAAAGTCAATATCTGTTCCCGGCAGTGATGGCATCATTAGCTAATCTGATTCTACGCTGCCATTCCTACAAATTAAGTTCACCTCCAGAAACTGGTTTAGTTTGCCTCTGCTCCCCAATCACCTCGAGCTGTTTGTTCTTTTTCTTCTGTGGAATCACATGCAGTCACACACTCTGCTTTTTAGTAGCACCACTTAAATTCTTATAGAAAATGCATTTGTGTGCAGGCACAGTGTTTAGACTGACACATTTGTCTTTTAAACAACCTATGGGTCATACTAGACCCCAATGACCTCAGTGTGCATGGACACAAACACATTTTGTTTTGGGTTCAAGAAGAGTGGGAGACGTGCATTCAGTTCACAATTAATCTTTATTTAATAGGACAGGAATGGAGGACCAGAGAAAGGAAGAAAGATACAGACAATTATATGTAAAAACAAATAACTTATTCCTAATGATTATAAAAGCTAAAATAACTGAAATAATGTGACCACAAAGAAACACACTTTATCACAAATAGCAGGGACAATTATGTGGGCAGCGTACTTACCACTGGGAGATTCTATCACAGACCCCATTAGACACCACCACATGACCACATGGTGACCACAACCACTGCAACTTAGACTGCAAGAACAAACTGGCCACCACCCTTCAGGACTACCACACTACATGGAAAGTGGTGTCCATCCCACGATTATTCCCCATAGATTGTCCAGCTGCCTGAAACAAGGAAAATAGAGACACTCAGTTGGTTCAGGTTCACAATAATGTTAAAAAAAAAAGAAGAAGCAATCAATACAATTATTAAAGGTCAAACAGGCCATCAGGAATGTGATGCATGAGAGATCGGACCAACAGTAGAAAACAAGGCAGAAACTGGTGGACAGACAACACAGGCATAGGCCAAGCACTTAATCTGCAGAGAGGGGGGACAAGGTCAGTCATCAATTTGCAACCAGATACATTTGAGGGGCTCACCCTAATGTTGCTATTGAATATAGCCCTATATTGCTCAATAGGGGGCCCTACTTTACAGCAACAATGGACAGCTGACTCTGTAATGTGGCTCAAACAGGGGAGAGGCAAACCCTGAATCTTCGCTGAGACATGGGGCCACAGAAATCTGCATCGAGACACAATGGACAAGAAACCGAAAACATCTCTTTGTCCCAGTTTCCCTTACCTGAACAAACACAGCAGCCGCCATCTACCAGGCATCAGACAAAGAGGTGGTAATTGCCCACACCTGTCCTTATAAAGGCGGGGAGCTCTGCAATCCCACCTACCAGGGCGGTGCTCTAACTCATAGCTGTCAGCCCTCACACATTTGCAAGACAGCAGCTAATGTAAACTTCTTGTGGCAAATTTTCCAGCATGGCATGTCAACCCCTCTCTTGGATCTAATGAGGTATAAAAATCTCTGCCAAGGAAGTTAGGTTTTTGTATAGTTTGGTGGAAGGATAGTATTGGGTCAAGAAAGACTAAATTTAGATGTGGATCTGGATCAGAGGGCAGATCCAGAATTGTTCTTCACTTTCTTTAACATTGCAAGATTTGATTTAATTCCTAGGCAATAATTCATGAATCTTGATGAATAAAAATCAGGCATGTTTATGGGACTCTACTGACTATGAGTTTTTATATGATTGAGTGGATTTAAGGGGAATGTTGGGACTCTACTGAGTAGAATATAGTTAATGAGGGCAATGTTTCAGTAAATCAGAGCTGCAGTCTTCAAGCTTTCGAGGAGACACCAGGGATATAATTTAAAGCAGATGGAATTAGCCATGGAAATTTCAAGTACATCACTTACGCATCTGTTCTTCAAAGCCCGAACTCAAGCTGAATCCATTGGGGGGGATGTAAGTTTCTGAGCCTTTAACATATGCAAGACTAAAGATCCTATACAACGTGAGATACAGAGTGAAAAAGAGAACAAAGCAGGAAAAGGAATGGGTGACCTGTTCTAAAGAGATACCCGTCAATATGTGTAAATAATTACTGTGCTTTAGAAGCAGTGATGATTGCTCAGGGGAAAACAGAAAGACAGCAAGCTAGAGGAGATGTGTGAAAATTGGGTGGGAGAGAAAGGCAAAGGTATATTTTCTGAGGATGAAAAAAGAAAAGTGAAACAACCGTCTCAAACAAAATTGGACATGTGTATAAAAACAGAAAGACGAATAATTTGGACAGACAGATGCACCACATCCTCTCTGATCTATCTTTCGTACCAAGTTTCAGCCTCGCAAACGAGCCTCTGCAGCGCTGCAGTGGCATTTCATTCAGTTCACAAATAGGTCAACAACTCTCCGTAGAGCCTCTGACAGATCTGGGGAAGCAGGAAGATAATGTTAAGCAAAAGGTCACGGAGAGAAGATTATGAGTCGATTAAATGAGACGCAAATCAGAGAGGAGTTAGAAAGATGTCCAAGTATTCATATCAGAGAAAGCATGTGTCTTTGCAGATTGCCAGTATGGACTCATACTGCAAATTGCTCACTGTTAATAACTTGCGCGAGGGCAGAGCCTGAGAGTGATCACAACAAGTCTATAGCTTGACTCTCCATCACATACACAGACTACTGATTCCCCAGCTCGCTGTTAGGTTCTTATACAGTAGCCCAGAGAGGACACACCAGCCTTCCACCTCAGTTAACAGCAGCCAGGTGACTAACAGGAAAATATTTGATGTTAAAAATGTAAAATATATTTTATGGGGCCACAAGATAGCGAGCAGCTCTGTGTGGATATGTGATTTGGCATAGCAGTGCATTGAGCGAACGTCAGCAGGAATAATGTTCACAACAATGCTAACATCCTTGGCAAGTAATATTGTCTATGCTCACCATTTCAGCTAAATTTGTAAGCAAGCTAGATAGCGAATGGAAAGGACATTAGATTCGCAGGTGCTGGATCATAAATCACATTGGACAAACAAAATTTTGATGAGAAGATAGCACGATCACTAGGTTATCATAGGTTCTAAAATTATCCTCTTTGGAACATGAATAATGTAAAAAATTGTGCCAATCCATTTAGAGGATCACTGAGGTCATTGAGATTATGATTTATCCTCTGGGGAGCATGAATCATAGTGTATTTCAAGATGGAGGACATGATGGCCTCCCAATAGTTAAGCCAAAGAGTCTTGAGTGCAACCTGGTGGCTCGCTACAGTATAGGTCATAAATCTCCTCCATGTTAGTCAATGGAACACGGACACTTTGAATATATTTAAATATTTTTCTGTTATTTTGGTAGTTCACATCACACTGATGTATATGTGAGTGCTTATTTTGACCCTAAAATTTGAGTTAATTTTACATATTTGAAATAAAAGCAGTGTTTCAGTGGGACTTCAATACTACAGCTGCATTCCACAACTACCTCTACACAAACTCTTGCTCCAAAAACTTGTGCCTTTGGCGGAGGATAGAAGCCTAAATTTGTATCCTGGATATTTTGGCTTCATTTCAGGATAGAGGGAGGAAGTGAAGAAGCATCATCCACCAATGTTTGTACAAAATGTGATGGTAATCTGTTTTATAGTTGTTGAGATATTTCAGTCTGGATCAAAGTGGTGAACGGACCGACTTTGCCTTTCAGAGAGCGAAGCCGTATCTCAGAAATGTGTTGAGATTAAAAAAGAAGCCTGGTTTTGGCCATGCATATATAAGGGCTTACAGTCAAGACTTTTCACATTCAGCAGTCACCATGAGCTGCAGTCAGTCCTCCAGCTATAACCCCCCAAGTTAATACATAAACAGAGGCAGAAATTCCCAGGGAAAGAAGAAGGAAATCAGGTCTCCACTCCCTGTCCTGAGCAGAACTAACAGGATCAGCCGCGCTGCTGAGACACAACATGACAGCTCTTTACAAGCTTCTCACCCTGACACAGATTCAATAATTTAACAGATACTAGGTACCAGTCATCAAGCCTGCAGTAAACAAATTGACTATTCCAGGCCATAATATGGATGCTGATGCCTGTGGGAAAGAAGGAAGAAAAAGAGCAGGATATAAAAAAGTAATACATAAAACAGATTTAAACTGACTTTCCCACATGACACACAAAAGTGGAGCCTGCTTGTCTGTAAGAATTATTTTAATACACACAGGCCAACACACATAAACCTTTTATCTTCTATATTTATCTAACAGTGCATCCAAAGACATGCAGGTTAGATGAATTGAATACTCTATTGGAGACCCTCTTGCAGTGAAGGATGAACAATATATCAACCTTGACAATTACATCCTCAATAAATTGTTAATCATGGAACTATCATCCCAATAAATGATTAATGACCCAAATCCAACTTCATTTAATTTAAAACGTAAACAGGCACTAGTTTATTTGTAAATGTGGTTTAGATGCTTTGGATAACTGAAATTGTCAATACAACTTTCATGCCAAGAGTTAGATGTCTGTAGAAACTATTTATAAAGATGGATGATGGTTCTCTACCTCCTCCCACCATCCAGAGGTGAAGCCAAAATATCCTGGATACGAACGCTGCCATCTTGTGCAACTGGAGCCAGAGTATGTGCAAAAAGCAAACAGGTGACGGAGCCGGTCTAGTGGCAAAGTCCCGCCAGTACATGTGCTCGACCAATCACGAGACAATCTATCTATCATGAAAGTCGACCTCATCAAATAATTCAAAAGGAAACTGGGACTTATGACCTGTACTGCATTCAGTTACCAGGTCGCGATCAAGACACTTTTGTGTTAATGCATTTAGTGTACCGACATAAGAGTGGTATCAATCTTCTCAACAAACTTCTAACAGACAGAAAGCAAAGAAGCATCACCTTCAAAATTCCAAACTTTTCCTTTAAAACAGATGAGAGAATCATGTTTTTCTTTAAAAACATCAGAAGCTTCTGTCGAGAGTTTGAAATCTTCTCTTCATGTCTGACAAATGAACTCTGCGTCCCATTAAAGTTGAGCCTGAGTCCACATGGGAACGTGGTGTTGCGTTTACATTGTGTGAGACAATCAGAGCTATTGTGCACGGTCTCTGCCATCTGTGCTGGAGAGTTTAGTGCCAGTGGGCTGGGTCCACCTCTCCTGGGACTCTGTGTAGACTGTGGAACAGATTGACTCTGTTTGGGCTCATAAACTGTGGACGGAGGAGGAGACTGGACTCTGACCGACCGTATGTAAACTCACACAATCAGATGTTTAAGGACGCGTCCTCATTTGACCTGAAAATTTCACACAGCATTTGAAGTCATCGGACATTTTTGGGATATGGAGAGATTGTTTGTTCTGGCTGACAGGAGGTGCTTTTCCCACAGACAAATAAGATGCTCATAAGTGGCGTCACATTTATGTTGCTCTGAGTTTCTAGAGCCTCTCAGGATTAAAAGACTTTATTATTTTGGGAGAGGCTGAAATGATGGAAGTGAGACAAAAGCCTTTTTGCACAGTAATACACATGAATATACGCTGGTACACAATATTAACAGACACAATCGCACAGTGAGATGGAACCATAGGGAGTGTGATTCAAGCTGCCTTAGGCAAAAACAAACTGACCACGTTTCCCCCCGTCGTCCATGTTTCCTCCAACAAAGCTGTGTACGTCTGTCTCTGACGTGTTCTGTTCCACAGCCTCACATGAATGAAAGAGGGGGTTTGATCCTGTTTGTTCTGCCTCGGACTCAGACGTGTGAACCAGTTTCTTCTCGGTATCATCCATCTGAAGTGTGTGTGTGTGTGCGTGTGCTTGTGCACGTGTGTCAGCATCTGTGTATGTACACGCATGGGTAAAGGATTAGTCATTTACAGTGCGAATTGTTAAGGAAAGAGCTGCAGCTGTGCACATCTGGATCCAGCTGTTCCTCTCACCACATCCTTGAAAAAAGCGCAGGAGGAAGCTTTGTTATGTCCCATGTAATTAATCTTTGGCTGCAGTTTAAAGCTTGTGTGTATCATGACCAGGATCAGACTGAGAAAAATGAAATGAAGTCAGTGCTGATGTGAACTTTTGAGTGAAGATTTGTGAGGTCATGATGTTTTAATCTGCGGGTGGAAAATGCTAAAGGCAGAGAAAGAGAGAAAACAGGATCGTTGCCAGATTAACTCACCAGGGAAGTCCGGGGCAAAATTGGACTGTGGGTCCCTGCTGACCTTCAGCAGCTTCACCACTCTGATGTATTTACACACTCATTAGGCACAGTTCTCCCAGCATTATGATGATATTTTCCTGAAATCAAACCAGTTCTCATCTTCTGAAAAATTATCCAGCCCCTTTATGTGGCATACTGCTTTAGGTCGTTGTAATTTGATTGAACATAAATTTGATTTAGGAATAATATCCACCGTAAAATCAATTGAAATTTTAAAAAAAATTAAAACAACTCTGTGTAACGTTTACTGAGCAACGGCGCCCTCAGCAGCCATTCCTGGAAATTAATTCTGTTGGGCTCCATGTCTGAGTGATAAAGCGATTTTTATGTAGAGAAAGTCTATCAATGTCTGCGTGAACTGAAATACAACTGGGATTACCCATGACCCCTGGTTTCCTGAACCAGGAGAGCATCCAACTAATTTTGAAGCTGCTATTTTAAGGTGAAAAATAAAAAGCAGTGTTTCGTCTGTTTGTCAAGTAAAAATTTAAAAGACAGCTTAAGGCCCTCATTGTTTCAGTTGATGGAGCATCGTACTTCAGTGCTGCACACTCCCAAACAAATTAAGAGATGAATTAAAAAACAACAAACCAATCACCACTAATTGAATCTGAACCCTTGGAGTAAATTAGCCACTTTTCTTGGTTGTTAATCCAGTGTCAGGATTAATGCTCCATGCTGATTTGCCTAATGTAGACAATGGCAACTGTTTGGCTACAGAGCTGAGTGGAAGATTATCTGCTGAATAATTCTACAGTTTTTATTTGAATCTCAGTTTCTGAAACTTTTCAACCACCATGTCAGTCAAAAATCTTACTTGTGCTTTATACGTCTCAGTTCATCACATCCAATTTGCTTTGATTATTCTCTCTCATTTTCTCTGTCGTCCCTTTGGTGTCAGTTCAATTAAATAGATATGTGATGTTTTCATCAAAAACATTTTTAACCAGAGCGTATCACTGGCAAATTTATTTTCTGTGACATCTTTCAAATTGGAAGGCAATTAAAAATGCTTTAGCAAAGGCAAAGAAATCATTAAAAAGAACAATAAAACCAGAACAATAAAACAGAAAAAGAATTCCATCACTTGTCCCAAATACAATGAAGAAGGTTGAAAAGAGATTTGATAAACTGTGTAGATTGAGGTCATAAACTCATAAATGAATGCAATTAATAAAAAGAAGAGCAGTGATACTGTTTAGAAGGCTGAATAAAATAACTAATACAGCTTTTATAAAGACATTATATAAGGTGGAAATATCGCAAATCTGAAAATGAAATGCAGAAAATGTAACATGTAAGAATATTCTAAAAATATTTTATCATTTAATCCTCCATTAAATTGCTTCTTTCTACATGACATACAGTTATATTTTCGGCCTCAGAAATAGTCTCACTGCAAGACAGTTTGAATAAGATATTTTGGTTTTGAATGAAAGTGTAAAAAATCAATCACATTTAATGCTGTAAGAAAACTGACTTCTGCTTGCCTTGCCTCTCGTTCATGTGCATCTGCAGGGAGGTGAACTTTAAGAACTTCACTCTGCTGCAGTTGGACGAGGAGTTTTCTCGAGGTCGAGGACTGGACGTCGGGGCCCGGGCCTGGAAGGGAGGCAACGTGCTGCTCTTCTTCTGCGACGTGGACATCTACTTCACTGCCGACTTCCTCAACAGCTGCCGACTCAACACACAGCCCGGTGAGATGCGCACACGAACACAACCACACACACATGCATATGCTTCTATCTTTGTGAGAACACTCATTGGCATTATACATTTTATAGCCCCTTAACCATCGTGACTAAATGCTTAACTGTTGGGGTCATTTCACCCTAACCCTCCTTGATATTTTATTGTCTTGACAAGCCGGTCATCCTAAGCATCGTAACCCTGACCCCTGGCCCTAACCCCTCTGGCATAATACCTAATCCTAATCAGCTGAGTCTGATGTAAACAAACCAAAAACCTAGAGGTCAGAAGTTTAAAAACATTTTTTGGTCTAACCAAGAGATAGCTCCTTAAGGTGGTAATACCTTGACCAACCGATCCTCCCAACCTGAACTGCTCGACCTACCTTTTCTAACCAAGAGGTCAGAAGATATATCTCAATCTCAACCCACAAGGTGACACCTCAAGTCAGAAATCTCTAGGACTGTAGCGCCTCATGTACAGGGATACAAGTGAGAGATCTGGCTAAAATCTAAACAACTGGAATCACAAACTTGGGACAACTCACTCTGGATGGATTGAGTCTGGAAGTTGGAGATATGACTTGAAGCATAGGTGATATGGGGATGGAGAGCTATTGACTGAAACAGTGCATTACCTCTGGCTCCCAAATTCAACTGCCCAGTAAACTGACAAACTATATCAAATATTCCATAATCCTAAAAGCCAGGTAAAACTCTGTGGAAAACTGATCAAAATGTCGTAACTTTCCCAACGTGTCTTCAGTGGGGACCCTCACTGGCATAATGCACTCCCTAGCCCCTTACCCTCAACTAAGTTATCACAACTAAAAGCCTAACCTAATTCTAACCCTAAAAGCAAGTCTCTTTTAATCTTTTAAGAAGCAAGGACTCACCCAAATGTCCTCACTTTCCCAAAATGTGTCCTCACGAAGCTATAAGTACACACACACACACACACACACACACACACTCACACACAAATTCCATAATAAATAATTTCCTAGCTGTCTGACAGCACTGTCTCTCTACATCTCAGGTAAAAAGGTTTTCTACCCAGTGTTATTCAGCCAGTACAACCCCACTCTGATCTATGGAAGCCCTGAACACATCCCAACTGTGGAGCAGCAACTGGTAACACACACACACACAGACACACACACACACACACAGACACACTAATCAAATATGATGTTCTCCCTTTTCTTTTTTCAAACCTTCTGCAAGCCACTTCTTGAAAACGTTATGCTTTATACCTGCAAGGTTTAGAAATATTTTCCCTCTCCAGCTGCTTCTGTGTACAAACCGACAGTAGCTATTGAAGTAGCTCCCCTGTGAACAGAGCTGATCTGTTTCAGTTTCTCACCTCTGTAAGACATGTGGTGGTTTTTCCTGCAGGTGATCAAGAAAGACACTGGGTTCTGGAGGGATTTCGGCTTCGGCATGACCTGCCAGTACCGCTCCGACTTCATAAACATAGGTAAATATTACATTTAGAGCACTGCAGTCGTACCCAACACTACATCTTACTTAGTAATGCAGGTATTTATAAACAGTTGCTCTTGGGGGATATTATCTGCATGTTGCATAACTAGGGGTAAAAATGGGCTTCCTGGAATGGCGACGGAAATATGCACTGTTATGCTAATGGTGCCATGACTTAATGGATGTGAAAAAAAACCCCACAAATAGCTCGACATTGCATTACTTTCCTAACTCGGATGGGATTTTATTATATTACTCTGCATGAAGTAGCTCCGAGCAGCAGTAGCAGCATATATTAGCATCTCATCTCGTAGCCTCTCCCTCCGTATATTAGATCAGGAACATTGGCTCTCAAGGCAGATTTACATCAATTTGGTTTCCCTCTAAAGTTTTATTGTTTTTATTGCTGCATACTGCACCATTCCCACCAGACGTGACTGTTATTTGCTTTATTAGATTTTCTCATCATCTTGTTATTACTGATATGTAGTTATTATCATATATCGTATATCTTATATTGTATATCTAGTAGGAGACAGTCTGAGGATATTACTGCATTAATGAACAAATAATATAAATAATAATTATAAACAGGCCAGAGGTCAGTTATAAATGAATAGGTTCACTTTCCAGCCAAGAGTTATAAGCATGTATTCATGTATGTGCATATGTGCACATACATGTATGTCATACAGTATGCATGTTCTTATATTATTCAGATGAAACAAACAAGCTGCTGGTCTGCAGGCGAGCTGATTCCCCTTTTTCCCCAGGGTTTATGCTAAACTGAAGTAACCATGTTCCGGCTAAATCTTCATCTTTATTCACGAATCATTTGTCTCAGATGAATCTCCACAGGACCGAAAATAACCATGTTTCCCAAATTGATAAACTATTCCTTTAAAGGCATAATTTAGTCCTGCAGGTATGCTCATCAGAAATGACAATGGAATTCATTATTTAGACCGTGAGTACACACACACACACACACACAAAGGAACAATTCGTCTGCTGGGTTCACGTTCATGTCTTCTCTCTGTTTAGCCCTGGAGCAGGAGTTAAGAGAGGAGGGAGAAAGAGAAAAATCAAAACAAAACACCCAGCTTGTGTTATACACTGAGAGAATTATTGTCCAGACATGAAAGATGCAGATTTAAACACGCCGGTCGAGATATGTTGAGTTTCCTCGCTGCCCCTTCACCAAACAACCAACCACCGTGCTGAGATTATGATCACGTTCTGTTTGCTCTAATCAGGACCCACAATCAGCATTCCACCAAGAGTTAGTGAACACAGTGCAGAGAATAAACATTGCTTTGAGTGTTTGCATATAAAGAGGTTTGAAATATCTTTCCACAAGCACATGTTTTAAATGACTTTTCAATTCTGTTCTCGCAGGAGGTTTTGACATCGACATCAAAGGCTGGGGAGGTGAGGACGTCCACCTCTACAGGAAGTACCTCCACAGCAACCTCCTAGTGGTGCGAGCGCCGTCACGAGGCCTGTTCCACCTGTGGCACGAGAAGCACTGTGCCGATGAGCTCCCGCCGGACCAGTACCGCATGTGCATGCAGTCCAAGGCCATGAACGAGGCCTCGCACGGCCAGCTGGGGATGCTGTTCTTCAGGCACGAGATCGAGGCGCACCTCCGCAAACAGAAGCAGCAGCAGAACTCAAACCCCAAGAAGACATGAAGACTCACAAGTTTTGAGTTAGAATCACTGCAGTGACTGCAATCAGTTCAAAGTAGAGGAGACAAAATCAGCTGATATGAGCTACAAACGATTTTAAAAAGTAGTTCAACTGTTTTTGAGCAATATGCTTATTTATTTTCTTTTCAACAAGTTACACAAGACTACAGATTTCACTCTCATCTGTGTACGCAAAATATGGAGCTGGAGTCAGCAGGTGATTAGCTTAGCTTAGCATAAAGACTGGCGATAGAGGGAAACAGCTAGCCTGGCCCTGTCTAATGGGGAAATAAACTGTGCATTAAGGATGTATTCAGGTAAAAGTATTTATAGCACATTGTAAAAATACTCTATTGCAATTATCCACCTTAACCTTAACGACTAAGGTTACCTGAGAGGCTGGACCCACCCTGCTGTTGGTTTGGTTGGGAGTTGTTTGCAGGTCGTTGAGAGTCGTTGAGAGTCGTTAAATTGGGAGGAGACTTCCTGGGGGTGGAAGTCAAGACTGTGTTGAATGTGGCTGATGGTAGTTTCTTAAACCTCCTCCCCCATTCGGAGATGGTTTCTCTAGTTTGACGTAGATGTCTTCCTTCACTCCTCTTTCAAACCATCTCTCTTCCCTGGCCAAAATGTGGACACTGTTGTCTTCACTTGAATGTCCCTTGTCCTTTAGATGTAGGTGAGTCCTGACCTGAGGAGCTGGCTCTCCTGTGCTGTGCCATGCATCTGTGAAGGGGTTGTTTAGGTCTGTGCATCATCACTACATTTAACTGCACATACTACATTGATCTACCTATGTCTGGGTGTTTTGGGGTGGACCAGTTTCTGCCTCAGTGTGTTGGTGGGCTTAAAATGTACTGGGATGTGGTGAAAAATATGAGATGCTTGAATACCAAACTTTGAGCACTTTAAACGGAAAAATGAAAATAGTTGGTGATTAATTTTCTGTCATTTGGCTGATTCTTGAACGTGAGCATGGAATGAAAATACTGAGGTACACTACATGAGTTTTAAGTAGAGCACACACTACTTGAGTAAGTAAACTTAGTTACATTTCATCTCTGTTCAGCTAAATTAAAAGGCTGCTCGCCGTATTTTCATAATTTGTGTCCAGGAATGAGAGAGGAATCACTCGTCTAGTATAACTTTCTTGAAGAGTGAGAATAAGCATATTTACCAAAATATCAAACTATTCCCTAAATGAAAAATGTGAAAACTTTTTAACAACCTTTTCAAGAATTCAGATCATGTTGTTGCTCTGTTGTGGTTGTTGATGGACAATGTGACATCACGTGTGGGCTCGATAAGTCAGGCATTAATATCTCAACAACTTCTATTAACATCTGAACTACTGCAGTACTCTGATTTTGTCCGATCATCCATCTGTACTTTCATGTGCGTTTGAGTTTTCCTGTGTAACTGCAGCGAGTCTCTTCAGAGAGAAAACACAGGCCCTGAACTTTGAGCTGGAACATTTCTGAACCATGTGCCTTGTGGAGAGAAAAAAACCTGAACACTGTCTTCTTCAATACAGGTTTTTATATGTAGGGAAACAGAGCCACCTAGTGGATTGAAAATGAATAGCATGTAGGTTAAACTATGAAGGACTTCTTCAAAGCCTGAAATGGCCTTGTAAAGCGTTTTATAAATTATTGGTCAGTTATTTTTTTATTTATGTTTGTTATTATTTTCTGTATGTCACCATTTATAAGGTTCTGTTTGTCTCATTCAAAATGCAGTATTGTGTGTATGTGCCATTCATCTTTTAATTGGATGAGAGTTGGTGTTAAAGGAAAACATGCCATAAATTACATTATCTCTAGGTATTTGTCCGTAAATTGACTTTTTTCTCGAAAGCCTTCTCCGTATAAGATGTAAGTGTGTGTGTATGTGCCCTTAATATTATTACACATGACTATTTTTTAAAGAGAAAACATTATATAGACTTATTTGTGTTTTTGTCACATAATTAATTTGTGGACACATAATGGATGGATAAAGGATGAATAACGGACTGACAGTAGTACTGATCACTGTCATGACACTGACGACGACTTAACAAGTCAGAATCAGACTTTTGATTGTTATGTTTTTGTTTCTCATGTCATAGTTAAATTCCAGAGTGCAATACTGAAGAGAAAATGTGACGTTTCAAGTATTTCTGCCAATCTTCAGCTGCCTCAGTTGGTTGCTTATATCTTCTTTCTTTTATTATGCTCACACATAATTAATTTGCCAGCACTTCTTCAATCAAAACAATCATGTAACAATGTATTTTTGGTGTTTGACCAAAGATGTGAAAAGGCACTTTTTTAGTTATATTGAAACATTCC